CGCAGCACAGCGGAACAAGGTTGCATGCAAACAACAAGGCAACCACATGGTCATGCAACAGGAAGGAACGTCAAACAAATACCAAGGTCTACAACGACGGGCACCGCGCTCATCATGCTGCTATGAAGTCATGCTGCGGCAACCGGTTGACACACAGACAGACAAACAAACAAACAGACAGACAGACAGATACATTCCTTGCTGGAACATCCGCTGTGTACTGCGGAGTCGATTGAAGTTGGTGTCAAGGGAGAGGAAAAGGATGATGTTGATGTTAAGGAGGAAGATGTTGATGTTGAGGAGGAGGATCTTGAGGAGGAGACTGTTGAGGCCAGAACGCAGACATACACTTTGTGCGAGCCTGCGCAGTGGAAATGCACTTCAACGTGTCACAAGAGCCACACCACACGGAATTTTTTGTACAAATATCTCATCAAATTAAATCCATTTCATACAATATCTGTCGTAAACCCAATTTCCTCATCTAATTCCATACGTCCTATTTATAATTTATATGTCATACCATAAATTTAACTTAGAATTTTGGTTAATTTCATCTGAATAAACCTAAATTATCCCAAATTTATTATATTATTTCAAGCCTTTTTTTTGCATGAGTTCTCTCCCCAAAATGGAATGGTATCCAGCACGCGTTCACCCGTTTAGTGGAAATGGTAAAGCGGATATTTTTGAGAGATAGTGGACGCGCGAAATGTTGTGTTTTGCAGGACAAAATAAGACAAAACGTGTCTCGGAAGATGGATGGGGAAGCTTGTCCGGCGGACGGTGGTGGAACACGTTCGTTTAGGGTCGGAGCAACAATCTTTCCAGTTATCTTGTGGAGGGTTCTTCAACCCCAAGGCCTTTGTCAAAGGCATTGAAAGCTTTTCTAGCAATGGCATTAGTCATTGACCAATGCCATGGCGGCATCCAATGGAAGGCCATATGCCAGATCATCTTTGCTCACTGCTGTGGAAGGCAAGGCTTTTCAAGCGGCATGGCCTGATGCCACCATGATTAAGAAATGGCATTAGCATTTGATTTGCGTGACAGCTATGCCAGGTTTGGGCACTTAACATCTTGTTTTACATGCGAAAGGAAGCGCAAAACCATTGCTTCCTTTGCCAGCAAGCTCCTCAAGACACAGAGTTTTGAGACCCCCCTCTTCGAGCAACTTCTGGCCAATGAGATTTGTATTTTGAAAGAGCCCAATGTATTTCCAGCTGTGGCCCATTTGGTTAAGGAAAAGAAAGCCGCTGCCAAGGAGATTGCAGCCATGGCACCTTTTATGGGCCAACAATGCAGCAAAGATGAATCTCCAGTGTTGCAAAATTTTCCCAGAGGTATCCAAATTCAACCTGGAGATGCCATCATGTATTCCAATGGTGATGGCCTACCCAGCTGGCATGTTGCCCAGGTATTGTTCCATGCCTATGTGTTTGGCATGGCAACGGCATTGGCCGGGATGTGGACCATTGAGGCCTTGGAGAAGCACCATGCCAAATGCCACATTGGAAGCTCCACTGGCTTAATTGAACAACATTTTGTTTCCAGTGCCATACACCAAGGATCATGATAAGGCAACAGCCACTAAGCTGCTGCCTTACCAAACCTATTGCCAAGCTTGAAAAAACGCCGCTCCTTACATGTGCCATGAAAAATTTCAAGACAGTAAAAGCTTCTTAGCTACCCATTTTTTTGAAAATAAAGCTTCCTTGGCTTCACATGTGGTGTGGGAACATGAAAAAATCATGTGTGTCCATGGTGCAAGTCAACACAGATTAATTTTAAAAGCAGCTTTGGCACTAGAACTGACCATTTTCATAATGAAGCAGAATGACACAAAAGGCAAGCCGAAAAAACATACAATGTTAGTAACTAACATAACTTTCATAACTAGTGATCACAAAACAAGGATTTCAAGTAGTGATTTGGTGGCAGAATTTCCCAATTTTACCGCCTATTGATTTTCCTTGAAACATTCTTCTTAAAAATGCTTCAAAATTGTCTTTTTTTTTTTTTTTGCTTTGGCGTCGAGATCCGGTTTTGGAGCTGCAATTTCTGACGCCGTTGCGTGTAGTTCTATTGTGTTTTGCAACTCAGCCTCTGAAAACCGCATTGGAATGGCTGCGTCGAGGTTGCTTGGCGCCGCGGCCGCGTGCGTAATACCATTGTCTTTTGCAGCTGGGCATAGTAAATCATATTGGAGTGGCATGCAGGCTGCAAAAGTAATTTGTCAGCGGATTTTCTCAGTTTAAAAGCTTGCTGTGTGTAAAAGCTTCTCTGTGTAAATGCTTCTCCGTGTAGATGCTTCTCTGTGAAAAGGCTTCTCTGTGTAAAAGTTTCTCTGTGTAAAACCTGGCTGTGTGTAAAGCTTCTGTGTGTAAAAGTTTGCTGTGTGTAAAAGCTTCTCTGTGTGGAAAAGTTTGCTGTGTGTGTAAAAGCTTCTCTGTGTAAACGCTTCTCTGTGTAAAAGCTTGCTCTGTGTAAAAGCTCCTCTGTGTTAAGGCTTCTCTGTGTGAAAGCTTGCTGTGTGTAAAAGCTCCTGTGTGCAAAAGCTTTTCTGTGTAAAAGCTTCTCTGTGTAAATGTTTGCTGTGTGTAACAGCTTCTCTGTGTGTAAAAAGTTTCCCTAACTTTGTGTAAAGCTTCTCTGTGTAAAAGCTGGCTGTGTGTAAAAGCTTCTGTGTGTAAAAGCTTCTCTGTATGAAAGCTTCTCTGTGTAAAAGCTCCTCTGTGTTAAGGCTTCTCCGTGTGAAAGCTTGCTGTGTGTAAAAGCTTCTGTGTGCAAAAGCTTTTCTGTGTAAAAGCTTCTCTGTGTAAAAGTTTGCTGTGTGTAAAAAAATCTGTGTAAAAGGTGGCGGTGTGTGAAAGCTTCTGTGTGCAAATGCTTCTCTGTGTAAGGGCTTAACTTCACTGTGTACAAGTTTGCTCTGTGTAAAAGCTTCTCTGTGTGTAAAAGCTTCCCTAAGTTTGTGTAAAGCTTCTCTGTGTAAAAGCTGGCTGTGTGTAAAAGCTTCTGTGTGTAAAAGCTTCTCTGTATGAAAGCTTCTCTGTGTAAGAGCTTGCTCTGTGTAAAAGCTGGCCGTGTGTAAAGTTTGCAGTGTGTAAAAGCTTGTGTAAAGGTTCTCTGTGAGAAAGCGTGCTGTGTGTAAAAGCTTCGCTGTGTAAAAGCATTTCTGTGTAGGAGCTTCTCTGCGTGAAGGCTTGCTGTGTGTATCCCAATGCACCCACGGATCAGAGACCGCGCTAGCAACTACCCTGAACTTTTCGTGTCGTCTGCATGCAAAAAGCTGCTGCGGTGTCTTGTTGGGTTTGGGAAAGAGATTGAATGGCAAGTGTAAGAAACACTGATGAGGGATCAGATGTTTTGACATGAGATGAGCAACCATGAAATACCACAAGAGAGCAAAATGATTTCGAAGAAAATGAAATGACATCAAATAAGCTGAGATAAGATGACGTGAGCTGCGAAAAGTTGAGATGAGGTGAAAAACTCAGAAGACATGGGATGAGTTGAGATGCGATGGGATGACACAGCCTGCGGTGGGATGCAGCGAGCAATTTCCAAGAGAATCTGCGATGCGATGAGATCAGATAAAATGAGAATCTTACTTTACTTCGAGTGACCCCCACCATGACATTTAACTTGACATTTATACAATTTGTTACTGGCATATCTTCTGGCATTCTATCTGGCATATCTTCTGGCATTCTATCTGGCCGTTGAGGTCCAGCGGTGCGCACTGAGCTGGGAAGGTCCCAGGTTGAGGTCCAGCGGTGCGCACTGAGCTGGGAAGGTCCCAGGTTGAGGTCCAGCGGTGCGCACTGAGCTGGGAGGGTCCCAGGTTGAGGTCCAGCGGTCCGCATTGAGCTGGGTCGGTCCCAGGTTGAGGTCCAGCAGTGCGCACTGAGCTGGGTCGGTCCCAGGTTGAGGTCCAGCAGTGCGCACTGAGCTCGGAAGTTGGCGAAGGGCTTGGCGAAGAGTTGGCAAGGCGGAAGTGGAGGTGGAAGTTGATGCAGACATGGTCGAGGAGAAACTGGAGGAGGAGGCGGAGGAGGAGGAGGACAACAGCTCTGATAAAATCTAACAACCCTCACCTGGCAGGTGGGGAATCAACATTCGAACGACATGGCATCAGATTGACAAGTCAAGAGCCTGTTGCCACGAAGCACAGGAGGCTTGCCTGTCACCTATAGGCACAGCATGGCACAGCCTTTGCTCCGCTCTATAAGCTATAAGCGTTTCAAATTTGAAACCTCCGCTCCCGGCTTGCCCGGGGGCTACTTGTAAAACAAAAAAAGCATGTAACTGATACATGCACATTCTCGGTTTATAAAAAGGCAGGGCCGTGCATCTCATGGCAGCACCACCTGTATCCCAGGTGCAGCAATTGCACACGTCTTCACAATAACACTTGAATATCTCGACTTGCACGCGCAGCAATACCTGTTCGCAAAAGCTTTGCTTCCCAGATAATGTTCACGGGGCAAAATTAATTGGAGCAGCAATCTTTCCGTAGCCTTTATCAGCAGGAAAAGGCTTGCGTGGTTGTATTGTGGCCCCGTTTCTTTCCTTCTATGATAGCTACATAAGGGGGGGCGAAAAACTATTGCATGCTATGTTAGATTTTTGCGGTCCCCCGGGTGTTTTGGCAGGATCACGGGCTATGGAATTTTCAGCCTTTTCTCTCAGTAGCCCCTTTTACAAACGCCGTCACAAGTTTCGCGCTGCGGTGGGCAGCTTGTGCGTGCCGCCTCTTTTGAACCAGAGGGACGCAATGCAAGTCAGTGTTCTGGACGCACGCGCGGCAATGGCGAAACACTGGTGGCCTCCATGCAACTGGGCATAGCGGTTAGTTGGCTTCAACATTCGGCCACGCACACTCACAATGAGGCATGGGTCGCATGGTTGCTATGAACCCCGTGCATGTCCTTCATGTCCGCACGGCCTGCAGGCTACAGCACTCTTTGATACAGCGCCAAGAAGCACAGCCACAAAGGGAAGGCAACTGCCGGGCACAGGAGCAGGCAATCCACCGCTGCTTGGGCCCATCGACCAACCTCAGACAACAATAGACAACATATAGCTTGGAGAAAGATGGGGGCAGAAGCAGATTGGCACTGGAAAGTCTATGCCGCTGTCTGTATGATCTAAAGCTCCCGCGTGGTTAACGGCCCGCAGGAGCATGCTCATTGCAGCCAAATCGCGTGAGAGGAATATGTGGTGCTTTATCTACTACTACTCCTACTACTCCTACTACTACTACTACTACTCCTCCTCCTACTCCTACTCCTACTACCTACTACCTACTACCTAATACCTACTACCTACTACCTACTACCTCTACTACTACTCCTACTCCGACTCCTACTCCTACTCCTACTACTACTACTACTACGACTACTACTACTACTACTTCTACTACTACTACTACTACTACCACCCCCACGACCACTACCAGTAGTGCCGCACAAGGCGGTGGCGGAAGTTTCAAAAATAGGGAGAGGTTGGGTGCTGTGAATCACAGATGGCAGAGCGAACCCGCTGATGGACCGAAAGGTGGTTGGAGTTGTGTTTTTGGAGTGGTTGCAATGGTTGCAGTGGTCACCTCACCACAACTGTTGGTTGTAGTGTGGTGTAGCGCAGTTGCAGTTGTAGTTGTAGTGTAGTTGTAGTGGAGTTATAGTTGTAAGTTGTAGTTCTAATGTGACGTAATTAGTGTAGTGTAGTTGCAGTTGAAGTTGCAGTTGTAGTTGTGGCGTGGTGTAATTGGTGTAGTATATTGTAATGTCTTGTAGTGTACTGTAGTGTGGTATAGTGGAGTGTAGTCCAGTGTAGTGTAGTGTAGTTGTAGTTGTAGTGTATTGTCATTAGTGTGCTGTAGCATGGCCCAATGTAGTGGTAGTTGCACTTGTAGTTGCAGTTGCAGCTGTAGATGTAGTGTAATTAGTGTAGTGTAGTTTTGTGTAATGCAGTTGTAGTTGCATGTATATTTGTAGTTGTAGTGTGCTGCAGTGTAATGAGTGTAGTGCAATGTAATGTAGCGCAGTTGTAATTCTAGTGGTAGATTTGGTGGTGGTGGTGTTGGTGCTGGTGGTACTAGTAGGAGTAGTAGTAGTAGTAGTTGTCGTTGTCGTTGTTGTTGTTGTTGTTGTTGTTGTCTGTCTATCTACCTAATCTATCTATCTATCTACCTATCTGTCTGTCTGTCTATCAATCAATTTATCTATCTATCTGCCAGCTTGAAAACGAAGCTAATTTTTTAACTTGACAACATCAAAAACACAGCAATTCAGCGAGACTTCCTCAATTTTCGCTCTTGACAACATCAAAAACGAAGCAATTCGGCGAGACTTCCTTCAAAAACGGATAGTTGAGTGCAGAGCTGACGGCCTCGTGCCAATGCGTTTTGCAAGTTTTCCACTCCGCCTGTCTAAAGTACTGCGCCTGCCACGAAAAAGTGAGGCCAGGTCATACGAAGTGCTGCACCTGTCACGCAAAATCATCTTCCCAAAACTGAGGATCTGATGCTCCAAGAGGCAGCCCCTTTCAGGAAATCAGCGCCCGGACCTCCTAACATCTCTGATGTCTCTTGTACTGCGCCTGCCACGGAAAATGCATCTTTGCAGATCCTCTTCAAATGCCACACGCCTGCTGCCACAAAACCCTCACGTTTTGCTCACTTTTGACACGGTGCATAATCCTTTGCGCCTGCCACGCAAAACGACATCTGAACGTCCAAAAGTGCTCCGTACCCCTAGGCCCTAGGTTTTTTGCACTTTTGACTTCGAAATGTGCTTCGCGCCACAACGGCGTGCACTTTTTCGACATCTCAACTTCCAAAAGTGGTCTGAACCCGCCATTTTTTTTTTACACTTTTGACATCTTTTGACTTCGACATGTGCCTCGCGCCACAACGGCGTGCACTTTTTCGACATCTCAACTTCCAAAAGTGGTCCGGACCTGGTGTGTTTTGTAAATTTTGACTTCGAAATGTGCTTCGCGCCGCAACGGCGTGCACTTTTTCGACATCTCAACTTCCAAAAGTGGTCCGGACCTCGTGTGTTTTGTACATTTTGACTTCGAAATGTGCTTCGCGCCGCAACGGCGTGCACTTTTTGACATCGCAACTTCTAAAAGTGCTCCGAAGCTGAAGTGCTTTGTACATTTTGACTTTGAAATGTGCTTCGCGCCGCAACGGCGTGCAACTTTTAATCTCTCATCTGACCACATGGCTCCGCACCCGCCGCTCTAGCGAGCCTACTTTTCGACCGTCTGGAGCCACAAATCATTGAAAAAACACAGTGTTTCGCGGCTTTCCTACCTTTTCGCGCACCTGGATCTTCTTTCTTCTTCTCTTCCCTTCTCTTCTCTTCTCTGGCTCTTACCATCACTGCTTTTCATCTGTCCATACTGTCGGAAGTTTGACTTCTAAACTTCCTTCGACAATACACTAATTAAACTGCAATACATTACAGATACAAATACAAATGCAGCTACAACTACACTACATTACACAACACTACGCTACACTAAATAAATTACACTACAACTGCAACTACCACTACATTGCATTACACGACGCTACACTACAACTACAACTACACTATTTTACACTACAATATATACACTACACATCCCCTTGCTCATTTCGGGTGAAGGTGCCGACAGGTGATTTTGTAGAGAAAAGGGGTCTACAGAATACAAATCCATCCAGGAGAGTGCCCCCAAACGCACTACAAATGCAAGTCCATGGAACCCAAAATGGCTGCCCACTACAAAATACAAAACAAAGATCATTAAAAACCACCAAATAAGCGCTTTCTACAAAATAGATTGTAGAAAAAATTGCCCCATCCAAGGCTCGTAAGTGCCCAAAACAGGCTTTGTGGGGCATGCTCAGTCCTGTATTTTGTAGAGAATCCAGATTGAAATATCTTAAAAATTCTTAAAACATCTTAAAACATAATAAGCCCTTATTGTGATTCATAAACTCCACCAAAGCCAATCAAAACCCTGGGTCCCATTACTTGGTTTTGGATTTTGTAGAGGTAATGATGCACCATCCTACCATGGCATTTTATAGGAGGGATTCTTTGCAAAACTTGGATCTTTTATTACCGACTCGTTGCATTCGGATACGGGGATCACTACGGGATAAAGCATAACAGTGGCCTCACCATAGAAGAACAAACCAATACAGCAAAAGATAAAACAGGCAATATAAAACAAAATACCAGCAAAACCATTGAAATATCTACATATCATAAAAATACATAAAAACAATACCGCAGAACATAAAATATCATAAACCATCATAAAATATTAACAAATCTCTGCTGCACGCGAACTTGTGCCCCCATATGCCATCATTCCATCCTTTTCAAATTGGCCCTATTCTTTTGTATGTTTTTCTTACCTTTCACACAACATCCTTATTATCTGTTGAAGTTTGTTGTCCTATTATCCCATATCATCTTTGAAATTTGTTGTCCTTATTCTGAATGAAACATTTCGGCGAGGAAAGGCGCAAATCATGCACAAAAAATGAACATGAATGGGGCCTCTACAAAATACAAAACCAAGCATGCCAAACATCCAACACCACCTATACAAAATAGAAGTCCATATCAAAACAAGACATAAACATGCAAAAAAATGCCTCTACAAAATCATTGCCTAGCAAACTAGGGTCTTTCAAAATGCATTTTTATTGTTTTTTACGACGCTCAATCCTGTATTTTGTAGACAAAGTTGGGGTTTGAACTGGTGACCCTGCACTGGCTCGAGAGGTGTCAGCACCTCATTATTTTGTAGAGAAAATGATCACAGGGATCACTACACTACACTACGCTACACCATACCACACTACAGTACACAACACTACAGTACACTACAAGTACAATGCACTACACTAATGACACCACACTACAACTACAACTGCCACACCCTACACTAATTCCGCGACATTACAACTACAACTCTGCTACACTACAACTACAACCGTACAACTACACCTACAACTACAACTACAGCTGCACTATACCACACTGCATCCAGCAGTGGTGGTGAGGTGGCCACTGCAACCATTGCAACCACTCCAAAAAACACAACTCCAACCACCTTTCGGTCCATCAGTGAGTTCGGTCTGCCATCCGTGATTCACAACACCCAACCTTTCCTATAGGTTTCCTATTTTTGAAACTTCCGCCACCGCCTTGTACGGTACTACTGGTATTCAGCAAAGTTGAAAGCCGACGGTGATCATGGATGTGCGGGCAGGTCGAAGGGACCACAAGCCACGGATAGGTGTCTTCGTTCTTCGATGTGTTTGTGATGTTAATCAAACATGTACTGTGCAAATGCTCTGTTGGTGAAAAGAGACATGCACGCCAATGGCCTTGCATCTGCTGTGTCTCGGTTATTTGTCAACCCTGCGGGCTGAAGTCTACAAAAAGAGCACAGAAGCAGTTGCCGCATGAAACTGTGTTATCTGTCATTACATGCGCCGACGTCGAAGCATCTTGGCTGCCATACTTTTCAACATTTTCAACATCTCAACCGGATAACCCAAGGCCATCAAGGAAAAGTCTTCGGCAAGGAAGGGAAGGGTTACCAAGGGATCCAAGAAAGACAACGTTGAAAAAAGGCATCGTGGAGGCCAAGGAAGGGGACTACCGAACTTGAAACAAAGCCAGCCAAGAGGAAGGCCAATGTTGTTACCCCAGTCAAAGCAAAGAAGCAAAAAAGGATTGGAAACCTTCACCCATGGCTCTCAAGGTTCAGGGCCCAACCTGATTGCTACAATATGCAGCTTGGCCAACATTGAAAAGCACTACAGAATGAAGAAATGGAGGCCACAGAATGCTTCTAAAATTTGAGCACGCCTTAACATTAGGCTTAACCTGATTTTGGGACAATTTTGGACGATCCGGGGGCCCATGGTGACTTGGAGATTGCATCTCCAAGCGTATTGGAAACAATGAGCCCGCAGACATGTAACATCGAGACTGTTTGTATGTTTATGCGTGTTCAAACGCATGAGGAGATCTTACAATGTAGCAGCAAGTGTGTGGCATGTGAGCATGAACGTTGACAGCCCCCATCCCGCCCCATGGCCAATGTAGAAAGATGTTCGCGCGAAATGTGACAAGCATAAAAACTTGCTAGGCGCCTCTTGCGCCAGCTGGCAACAACAACAACCCTCCTCCTTTTCCAACTCTCCCTCTCTCCCGTGTTGGCCGGTGGCTGGCTGTCAGGCATAGCCTACCCCTTTAAATTCAAGGGATCATACAAAATCTGTGTTTCGCCGGGGCTAGCCAATGAAGCCGCAAGCGAAAAACAAATCTCGGATCTCTCTGCGGCTTTGTGGGTGTGGCTTGCGCCACTTGGGCAGCACCAGTTCTGTCGCCAAGGGGCCGAGAGCACATAAAGGGCGGGAAGCGCAAACAGGAAGAAGGCTACAAGCACAGGCTGCTCCTGGCGAATCTGGTTGGTTTGCGGCACGCCGTGGGGTGTTGTGTGTGCTTGAATGCCATCTTGCCGAACAAAAGCAGGAGGCTGATGTGGGCATGGTGGGCTGATGACCTTGTTGGGTGCCAGTCCCACTTGCGCCCTGAGGACTTACCCGCAACAAACCCGCCACAAAATTCCACAAACACCTTCTTAACCGTCTTTTCATCCACGCCAGAGCTCTGGCTAACCCCGCCCCGTGACGGCCCGGCAGCTCATGCAAGGCGGGAAGCTGCAGCGCGTCGTGGAAAGGCCAGCTGTGACGTGCATCTCCGTATTCGGCATCTCAGTATGGTCAGAAAATGGAAAATGAAAAGAACATGGTTAGGTTCTTGTGCCAGCCTGTCGCGGCAATGTTTTTTGACGGTCTTGACGATGTACATGTATACACTTATGTGAAGATATGTATATAGATACAGTGTATCTTAAAATAATATATATTTATATTTGAACCGCTTTGGTGGAACTGTCCTTTGTGAAGACTGCAATTTTGACATGCCATGACCCTTTCAGCAAAGGTGGCTGCAACGCGCAAAACGCCTCATACCCCGCAAAATCCATAGAAGAGGGACCCAGGTGCAAGCTGCATCAAAGATCTATGATCTATGAAAGCACCGTCCAAGTAGCATCTAGTGCCGAACATCGTGTGTGTCAAGAGAGCGCCCATGGAGAAACGACCAGCCCTGAGCTTGGCTTTGCTAAAGGCTGCGCAAGTAACTTCAAAGCCTCCCCTCATCGCCCCATGATTTCCCAGCACTCCTTGTGGGCATCTCAGCCAAGCGTCTGCTGAAAAAGCCAAGTGTTCCCAACAGCGATGGCAATGAGCCCCACGAAGATAAGACTTCCAATAAAGGCCAAGGTGGCAGCCAAAACCTTCGAAGCCCACTGGTCCACCTTGTTACTTTGACATGGGTGATCAGTAGCATGGCTTGTTGCGTATCAGGCTGACTGTCAGGTACATGACACCGTCATACAAAAATAGTAAAAGCCATGCAGCTGCTACAAACATGTTGCCAAGAATCTGCGGGCTGAGGGTCAAAGAGGTACCAACTGCAGCAGCGGGGCAGGCGCGGCTTCAGCTAAATACTACAAAATCCGTACGCTGATGTCTCTGGAATCGCTTGGTGAAATGCCCGGTTCATGGCAGGAGCGCTGTTGATTTGCACAAATAACTTTGTCTTTATCCGCGCTAAATCCCAGCACAAAGATCATTAGAGGAAAAGAGTGTTGGGTAACCCCCCTTGGAAGTGTGGACACACGTGTGGTTGTTTGACTGCTTTGTGGCCGAGTGCTTTGTTATTTAATTTCTGTTTCTTGAGTACATCTCTTGCTTTTTGTTGAGTCGCTACACGCGTCACACACATGCACACAGCTTTATAATTGCGGCTCTTGTTGAATGGCAAAGCGTGGGAACAACCTCCCAGCTAGGAAGGTGAGAAAAGGAAGCGGCCAACAAATAGAAACAACCACCGAAAAATAGCAAAAAAATGTCCCCTTCGGAAGATCTGCTTGAAGTTTTGCTCCTTGCGCCGCTGAAAAGTTGCACCGCGTGGCTCACGGGAAAGAGCCAAGCACACGACACGATAGGCTGTGCCCCTCTGTCCATATGACTTGGGCACCTTCTACGATTCTGAATGGACGAGGAAATAATAAGAACACATGAAAGGGAAGAAACAAACTTTGAAAAAACCGTTGTGCCTTCCCTCTCATCTTCTTGGTTCGTTTAACAAATGACGAAGCAGCTCGTTGGAACAAGCAAACAAAGAAGGCAAGGCCAAAAGAAAAGGAAAGCAAAAGAAAGGGAGCGGCCATGGAAACTAAACACTGGTTTAGAAGAGAACAAACGCAAACTTGGAAAGGAAAAGGAAAGACAAGCGAGCACCAAGAGGAAGCAAAACTGAACATAGACTGCATCTTCCTACTCCAAGGAGAAATGCTGGGAATCCGTCAGTTCAAAAAGCAAACTCCCCAGGCCTCTTGTGGGTTTGCCGGGCTTTTCTTCTCGCATATGATCACCAGCCAGAGCCCGGCAAGAGACCCTAAACAGTGTGTAATTGAGATTCTACACGGAAAGGTTGAAAGGATTTTAAAATCATCAGTGGCTCCAAGCTAGCAGGACAAGAGCGGCCCTAGTAGTGAAAGCATGGTGTTCATTCTCAAGGTTGCTTCTGGGAGAAAAAATGCCAGGTTAGATTCTGCAAGTTCCCTTTGTGAAATTTGTGAAGATCCCTGTAGAAGATTGCGCGCAAGATTTTCTTGACAGGTTCTCTGTAGAAGCTGCTGTGCAAAATCCCTTTGTAAGGCTATCTGCACAAGGTGTCTGAAAGAGATCGCCACGGAAGATCATTGTAAGAGATCTCAAAGTAAGATCTCTGTTCAAGCTATCTAAAAAAGATCTCTGAGCAGGATCTATGTAAGAGACCTCTTGGCAAGATCTCTGCAACAGATCTCTACGCAATGTTTCTGTACAAGATCTCCAAACGAGGTGCCCTGGCAAAATCTCTATACAAGATCTCTAATCATAAGATGTCTCTTGGCGAGATCTTTTTGACAGGTCTCTATAAAAGCTGTCTACAAGAGCTCTCTATAAGAGCTCTCTTGGCAAGATCTCTGTACAGGACCTCTTGGCAAGATCCCAACATGCAATGTGTCTGCGCAAGATCTCTATAAGAGGTCTCTTGGCAAGCTCGCTGTACAAGCTCCCTATAGGAGGTCTCGTGATAAGATCTGTTTCAGAGATCTCTGCGCAAGCTCTCTGTCAGAGCTCTCTTGGCAACATCTCGGTAGGAAACCTCATGGCAAGATCTCTGTACAAGATCTCTTTAGGAAGTCTCTTGGCAAGATCTCTGTCCAAGCTCCCTGTAAGAGGTCTCTTGGCAAGATCCCTTGAAGAGATCTCTGTAGAAGTTTATGCCGTGGCTCTGTTGGCAAGATCTCTCTATAGGATCTCTACACAAGCTCTTGGAGTCTCCGTGGCAAGATCTCTGCACAAGCTCCCTAAAAAAGACCGAACATATGTGGACAAACCTCAATTGATTAGGGGTTCTGGATGTTTATAAGGCGACGTAACTACACATAATTAATTATACTTAATAGACATATGAGACTATGTGGAAACAATGGTGGATTATTTTCTGGTCACCCCCCTCCCCCCCAGGCATCCCTATCGAAAAATAACCCATGGGAAAAAATCCGGAAAAAATAATCCACTATGGTTGCTCCGTTGGATTATTTATTTAAGGGCGGGGCCATGCGAAGAATGTGGAGTGTGGCGTCTGAAGGGTGTGGAGTGTGGAGTGGAAGTGTAGAGTGCGGAGTGTGGGGTGGAGAGTGTGACGTGTGAGTTGGGGACTCATTGACCTTGCTACGTTCGCCGGAGGGCATGCGAAGCGAGGCAGGTGACGCGCATACTGGGAGGAACCAACGAGGAAGCGGGCCGTTCACTCGCTCTTCACTCTCCTCACCGTGTCTCTCGTTCTTCCGCCTCCTTCCACCTAGGGAGGGTGAATGAGCGCAGCGAGCGAATGAGGGTGGAACATGGTGGAACGCGGCGAGAAACACAGACGCAGAGAACTTGACAGATTCCCCCCCAAATGCTGCGCCTGCCACGAAAAAAAGGTCAGTGTCACGATTTACCATGCTTGCCAGGATCTGCACGTGTCAGTGCGAATGTGCTTCGCAAAAAACGCGATACTACCTGTCCAAAGTGCTGCACCCGCCACGAAAATGAGCATGGACATGTCCAAAGGGATGCGCGCACCTGCCACGAAAAAAACAAATCATCTTAAGAGGGCGTCCAAAGTATTGTGCCTGTCACACAAAACCATTTTCGACACGTTTTTGACACACGTCGGAATGTCACTACATGCCACCCCTGCCATGCAAAACAACGCGGAAACATCTTATTACAACCTCCTTTGAAACCTTCAAAAATGAGAGGCTTTGCAGCTTTCCCCAGGCACGGCAACGCCGAAACCGCAAATCAAGCGCGCGTTACGGTATGATATATGTGAAAAACAAGAGAGGAGACAAACTTTCCGTTGTTTTTGCTTCGTCTGCGCCCGTGGTATTGAAAAGTATCATTCAAACAGGATTGGTTTCTACAGGTGTGGGTCTCCCTTGGGATTTCTGCAAAGCTTCCGTTGATCATTCTGCACTATCGAGCCCCCGCTGCCTTGGCTGAGCAATCACCCAGCAACACGTCAGGAATGCCATGAGCCGAACCTTCCACAGTGGCAGTGGCGTGGAATAGCTTGGATGCCATAGGCAATTCCCACCAAATGGCTTAGTTTCAAGAAGCCGCATGACAAGCCACGCCCAACCACACACGACACTCGCAACACAACAAAAACCGGCAAACATTTGAAAGGAGCCTCCAGTCGTGATAGTAGTTGGAGCAACCAAAGGCGAGACCATAGAACCTGCTCTGTAACTCCGTAGTCGGCTGGGCATTGCGGGTCACCCCAAAACATGTTTCAGGTGAAAAATGTCCACAAAACGTGTGAACACATTTGTTGAGAAACTGCGCAGATGCGAAAAATGTATAGCTGATTGGCGAGAAAGCTATCGTCTTTGGAATGGCGCTTCATTTATCGTATGTGGCGGTCTTGTTCATGCTGGGGAAAATCAAAGCATGCCTGTGGCCAAGCATTCACGCACACACACACACACAGAAATTTTGACGACTACACATTGCTGGCTCTACCCTGGGCTCCAAAACCAACGGATCCAACATGGTTACGGTTAGGCTTTGTTCAGCAACTAGCCACTTTTCCACAAGCTTGAATTTCCAGCAGCGTTTGACTGATGATCTTTAAGCGTCAATCCCATTAGCACCGCGCAAGGCGGTGGCGGAAGTTTCAAAAATAGGTAACCTAAAGGAGAGGTTGGTTGTTGTGAATCACGGATGGCAGACCGAATCCACTGATGGACCGACAGGTGGTTGGAGTTGTGTTATCTGGAATGACTGCAATGGTTGCAGTGGTCACCTTACCAAAAACTGGTGGATGTAGTGTGGCGTAGTGCAGTTGCAGTTGTAGTTCCAGTTGTAGCTGTAGTTGTAGTGTCGTCTAGCGGAGCTGTAGCTGTAATGTAGTGTAGTTAGTGTCGTTGCAGGCGCAGTTGCAGTTGTAGTCGTGGTGTGGCGTAATTAGTGTAGCGTAGTGCAGTGTGATGTCGTGTAGTGTTGTGTAGTGTAGTGTGGTGTAGTGTAGTGTACAGTCTAGTTGAAGGTAGTGTAGTTGTAGTTGTAGTGTAGTGCAGTGTAATCAGTGTAGTGTAGTGTAGTGCAGTGTAATTAGCGTAGTGTAGTGTAGTGTAGTATATGTAGTGTAGTGTAGTGTGATGTAGTGGTAGTTGTAGTTGTAGTTGTAGTTGCAGCTGCAGTTGTAGTTGTAGTGTAATGCAATGTAATCAGTGTAGTGTAGTTCTATGTAGTGTGGTTGTAGTTGTAATTGTATTTGTAGTATTTGTAGTTGTAGTTGTGGTGGTGGTGGTAGTAGTAGTAGTAGTAGTAGTTGTTAGTGTAATTGGACGGCGACTCACTTGCGCACACAAAATTGACTCAGTTGCGCACACAGGATTCTGACTAACTTGCAAGTGTCTCAGTTGTACACACAGAGCCTTCGGGGGATGGGATGGGGCTCGTTAACGTCATTATCTTTCTTGCTGTCCAGCAGACACAGGCACTGCTCATTCATGATGAGTTACCATCATTTGGCCATCATCATCATCATCATCATCATCACCATCGTCATCATCAGCATCATCATCATCATCATCATCACCATACCGTCGTCACCATCATAAGGACACCAGCATCCGTGTGCACAACTGACTTGGTTTCTCGCGTGCACAACCGAAGCCCCAACCGTGTAATTGGTGTAGTGTAGTGTAGTGTAATTAGTGTAGTGTCATGTAGCGAAATATATTTGTATATATTTGTAGTTGTAGCAGTAGTGTAGTGTAGTGTAGTGTAGTGGTAGTCGTAGTTGAAGTTGTAATTGTCTATCTATCCATCTATCTATCTGTTTGTCTGCCTGTCTGTCTAACTGCAAGATTGAAAACGCAGCAATTCTGCGAAGCTTCCTCTTTTTTTGAACTTGACAACATCACAAACGAAACAAGTCTGCGAGACTTCCTCAACTTTCGGAGTTGACAACATCAGAAATGAAACAATTCTGCGAGACTTCCTTCAAAAATGGAAAATTGAGTGCAGAGCTGATGGCCTCGTGCCAATGCGTTTTGCGATTTCTCCACTCCACCTGTCAACAGTGCTGCGCCTGCAATGAAAAAGTGATGCCAGGTCATACGAAGTGCTGCACCTGTCATGCAAAATCATCTTCCCACAACTGACGATCTGATGCTCCAAATGCAACCCCACTCAGGCAATCAGCGCCCGGACCTCCGAACAGCTCTGATGAACATGTCTCGTGTACTGAGCCGGCCACGCGAAATGCATCTTGCCAGATCCTCTTCAAATGCCCCACGCCTGCCATAGTTTTCGAAACTGCTACAAAACCCTCACGTTCTGCTCACTTTTGACAAGGTGCACAATCCCTTGCGCCTGCCACGCAAAACGGCATCTGAACGTCAACAAGTGGTCCGAACATGTCGTGTTTTTAACATTTTGACTTCGAAATGTGCTTCGCGCCGCAACGGCGTGCACTTTTTCGACATCTCAACTTCTAAAGATGGTCCAAGCCCGTCAGTTTTTTACACTTTTGACTTGGACATGTGCTTCGCGCCGCAACGGCTTGCACTTTTTCGACATCTCAACTTCTAAAAGTGCTCCGAGGCTGAGGTGTTTTTAGCTTTTCCACTTGCAAATGTTCTTCGCGCCACAACAGGCGCTTTTTTCGACATCTCAACTTCTAAAAGTGCTCCGAGGCTGAGGTGCTTTGTACGTCTTGACTTGGAAATGTGCTTCGCACCACAACGGCGTGCAATTTTTCATCTCTCATCTGGCCAGCTGGCTCCGCACCCGCCGCTTTCGCGAGCCTACTTTTCGACCCTCCGGAGCCACAAATCACTGGAAAAAACAGGGTAAAGCGCGACTTTCCTATCTTGGTGCGCACCTGGATCTTCTTTCTTCTGAGGCTTTCTCTTTTTGATCTTCTTTCTTCTTCTCTTCTCTTCTCTTCTCTGACTCTTCCCATCTCTGCTTTTCATCTGTCCATATTGTCGGACGTTTGACTTCTAAACTTTCTTCGACCAAGAGAATGCACCAACCCCTGGCCTTGCTCAGCATGGGCAGAAACTGGTATCCAAAGACAAAGGCCGCGCCCCACAGAAAAACCATGCCGCCCATCCTCAAAGAAACAGCCAAGCACAAGGAACCCAGCAACTTGATCCACTTGTTGCCACGATGGCTGCTTCTATTGGATTTTTCGCCGGCTGGCGCCAGACAGGCTGAACTGTAATAGCTTTGTTTGAGGGTTGGGGTGGCGTGGTCCCAAATTGTTCTGCACTGCCCTGCAACCCATTGCCCAAAGCATTGGTATGATGGAAGCACCCAAGCTGATTTCCATGCCGAAGCGCTATTTGGCAAAGTTGCTGCGACCTTGTTGTCACCTTTTGCCCCACGCTTTGTGGAGTTGCGCTACGGCGCATGACGTTATCTTGTTCAGCGTGGTGTGTTGTCGTAGTTTGCGCTGCAGTATATTGAAGTATATTGCGTTGCACCATATCCTTTGTTTTGTCGTGCTCTGCTGTAGCGTGCTGGCGGTGGCATTGTGTGGCCCGGAATTTGTCAAGATTGTGCCAGGTGGAGTTGGGCCGTGCAGTGTTGTGTACTGTTATGTGCTGTACTGTTATGCTATGATAATACAGTATGTTATGTCTTATTTCTTGTCATGTATGTTCTAGATCGTTCTATAGCTGTCCGGTGCTCTGTTGTGTCTCATGTGTCCCGTTTTGCGCTGGAATACCATGGAATACTGCACTGTGCCGTGCTTTGCTTCGATACCTGTTCTCTCAAATATCTCTCCTCTTATCTCCTCTGTTTGGAGTGTGCAAGCTTGTCTGTTGGCCTGAATGAGGGAGTCAAATTGCGTTCATGATCATGTACATGATCGCCAATCTGTTCTTTTGCGGTCATTTTTAAACGAAGGCAAGGAAACGTAACTGGTCCCGCAGAAAAAGAAGACAACTACAGGACTACAGGATACTACTGCACTTCAAAGCGATGCTGCATAATCCTGCGCCGGGGTTCCAAAATCCGAACTGCAGATCAATGTTTCCGATGAGAATGTTCCCCCAGGATTCCCGAATGCCAATCCGCAAGGTCCACCCGGTTTGGTCAGCAAGCGTGGTGAAGTACCTGGCTGCTCAGCAGTGACAGCCGAATAGCTTTTCAGGCTTGGAAGGGTCTAAATCACAGCTTAAGGTCGCTGCCAAGTAGAAGGAAAATTCGTTGTGCCAGCCCATGCAGCCGCAAAAACGAATGCAAGCATATCAATTCCAGCTGCGACGGACCTCCGCTCATGCCCGCTTGCCGTTGGACATGGCTGAACAGAAATGAATCTCAAACTTGTGCACGGCCGTGCTGCCAAGTGTCCCCCCAACAGGCCCAAGATTGCACAGCTTTGGAAACTCGAGGGTGAAGGCCTCAATTTTCAGAACACAACTTCCTGAAGGAAAGTTGCGCAAACTTTGTCTAGTTACTTTTCTGAGCCTTGTATGGGTTTGTGTTGTAGCCATCCCGCGCGCTACATTGTATGACCACACTACTCCTTTTGCATCCACAGGCAAGCTTAGCCACCCCTGGCTGCATGCAGCATGTAAGAACAGCCGTGACAAGGAAACTCGCACACGTACACACACATATACAAAAAAATATATATATATACATAGACACACATATATAAATATATGCACATATATCTATGTACAAATAAGAACAAAATATGTATATATGGTCCCATGTCCCGTGTTGGGATGGGGGGGTATGATGCCCCTGTGGTGGTGGTATGTATGTATGTATGCATGGATGTATGTAAATTTATATCTATCTATATATATATGTTACATGCATTTCTCTATGATAGTGTATGTGTACGTACACGCATATATACATATATGTAAATATGTTTGTAAACATATGGAAAAACCGTCCGATATAACGAAGACACGACCCATACCACACACGCAGACAGACAGACAGACAGACAGACAGACAGCCAGCCAGCCAGCCAGGCAGCCAGGCAGGCAGGCAGGCAGGCAGACAGACAGACATGCATGCATAAATACATACATACATACATACATACATAACCACCACCACCCCACCACCCCCACAGGCCACAGGGGGGGGGGACCAGAAGATACCAGAAGAACCAGACGATACTGTCCGCCCATTCCCATTGGTGGGGGGGGCATATATATATATATATAATGATTGATCGGTATTGATGATATTGATGGATTCTTTTGATGCACTATGTCACTATGATGTAGACTGCACGCGCCCCCGATATTTGTCAAAATCTCCACCCCCTGTTAGCCCAAGCTGCACATGCTATCTCCGTGAGCAATAAGCAAGAGAAAAACCAATCCAATCTCATTGACTTCGTCCAAATGGCCTCAAGCAAACATGTACTCACAAGCAAAAATAATATTGAACAGAATGTCACATGTGCAAGATTGCGCAACCTAAGTCCTCAGTATCCTGAGGTGGGCCACCTAAAATCTCAGCGCACCAGGACCAGGGGTTAAGCTACAGGTCTGTGACAAAAGCAAGCAAATGCAAATCACCTGAATATGATGGTTGGCTCGGGTGGCTCGGGTGGCCCGACGCAGCTTGGCCCAAAGTATGTTTCAAACAAAATGGAGCACTTCACAAATCGTCTTGCTGAAAAGGGCCAAGGGCACTTGAATCGCTGCAAGGGTCATGAGGAGATACAGCCCCATCCAACGGTGGCGCCGTCCAGACCAGGTCGTAGTCTGGGAATTCGGCGCAGTCACTGCATGGTTTGCAAATCTACAACTGTCTGATGTCTTACCTCCGTTTAACTTGCGAAGGCAGTGCAATGTATGTCGGAAATCTTTGCTTCTTTCATACCACCACATGCAAAAACGATAAGCAGCATGTTCATCAAACAAACTCTATGATACATAGGCTTACAAAAAGTGCGATGCCCAGTGCGCTAAGGAGCAACAAGTGCACTCGGGTTCAATTTTCTTGGAAAGTCTTTCCATTGCAGCAGGGGAGCTAGAGAGGCAGTGTGCCCGCTGAGTAAGAAAAATAAGGTCATTGTCAACATTTGGCTCTCCGCCACTTGCGTCATCCTCGACCATCTGCATCCCGAAAGTGCAGGGCATGCTAAAGATTGCAAGAATCACAAAACATGTGCAAAAGGCTAAACGCGACGACCTCCAGGAGTTGAGTGCACATGGCATATGTAACTTGTACGCCCAAAATGGGACGATCCTGTACGTGTAATTATGTGTGTATATAAATACCAGTAGTACCGCACTAGGCGGTGGCGGAAGTTTCAAGAACAGGAAACCTATAGGAGAGATTGGTTGTTGCGAATCACGGAAGGCAGAGCGAATCCACTGATGGACCGAAAGGTGGTTGGAGTTGCGACTTTTAGAGTGGTTGCAATAGTTGCAGCGGTCACCCCACCACAACTGCTTGATGTTGTGTGGTGTAGCGCAGTTGTAGTTGTAGTTGTAGTTGTAGTTGTGGTGTAGTGGAGTTGTAGTGCAGGTGAACGTTGAAGGCAGGACCGGTGGTGCTAGAATATGCAGGACCTGGACTATGAAACCCAATGGAAACGCTTCAACGCTTACGGTTTGTAGATGTGAAAACATTCATTTCCAGAAGCCTCTTTCCAATGGAACGCCGGTACCCAAACTACTAAACATATTTGGCTGATGACTCACCGTTCCCATGGAACGCTGGCTTTTACTGATGCTTCAGACCTGCCCAAACCACTTGAGCAAATCCCCGTGTGAACTCCGCTTCTCAAGACTACTCCTGCCAGAATCTCATGCGCAGTGTGTCTTAATTCAAACTGGAACTCCGGATTCACAAGTCCGGTTTGGACAGAAGGGTTGCATATCAAAAACTGTGGGGGACAAGAGTGCATTTATACGAGGTCCGATACGAGGTCTTTATACGAGGTCAATACAAGGTCAGCCTATATGGTTTGTCCCGGAGCTCGCCATGAGCTTCTGAAGCGAGATTGCTCCAGCAGCGGAGGAGGAAGCAGCAGCAGGAGGAGGAGGAAGCAGCAGCAGGAGCAGGAGGAAGCAGCAGCAGCAACAGCAGCAGCAGGAGGAAGCAGCAGCAGCAGGAGGCAGCAGCAGCAGCAGGAAGCAGCAGTCAAGCAGCAGGCAAGCAGCAGCAGCAAGCAGCAGCAAGCAGCAGGCAAGCAGCAGGCAAGAAGCAGGCAAGAAGCAGCAGTAGCAAGCAGCAGTAGCAAGCAGCAGCAGCAGCAAGCAGCACAGCAGCAAGCAGCAGCAAGCAGCAGGAAGCAGCAGCAAGCAGCAGCAAGCAGCAGCAAGCAGCAGCAAGCAGCAGGCAAGCAGCAAGCAAGCAGCAAGGAAGCAGCAAGCAAGCAGCAACCAGTGTTTGCCCCATTGAAAGAATGATCAGATATAAGTTTTAAAAATCAACGCAATACAAAAATTGAACTTTTCCCAGGCGCACGGCCCCAAAACAATGAAATCGTTCAATTGCTAAAAGTTCCGGTGATGCCAAACTTGAACTTTTTCCAGGCGCACGGCCTCCCGATACGACTTTTACGAGCTGATACGACTCAACGCTAGCGTTAGTAGATGATCCAAGGTCCGGCATGCTTAATCCAATGTCTGTGAAACGCATACTGAACGCTAAAGGTACCGCCTTCACCTCAATGTTTTCTACAAGGGAACAACACTATTTTATACCACTGGTACCGCCTTCAACATCTGCCTGTAGTATGTAGTGTAGTGTAGTTGCAGTTGTAGTTGTGGTGTGGTAAAATTAGTGTAGTGTAGTGTACTGTAGTGTAGTGTACTGTAGTGTTGTGTAACTAGTGTGGTATAGTGTAGTGTAGTCTAGTGTAGTGTACTGTAAAGTAGTGTAGTTGTAGATGTACTGTAGTGTAATGTAATTAGTGTAGTGCAGTGTAGCGTAATGTAGTGGTAGTTGTAGTTGCCATTGTAGCGTAATGTGATGTAATTAGTGTAGCGTAGTGTTGTGTAATGTACTGTAGTTGGATTTGTATTTGTAGTTGTAGCGTGCTGCAGTGTAATTAGTGTAGTGTAGTGTAATGTAGCGCAGTTGCAATTAGTAGTAGTAGTAGTAGTAGCAGTAGTAGCAGCAGTAGTGGTAGCAGTAGTGGTAGTGGTAGTGGTAGTGGTAGTGGTAGTAGTAGTAGTAGTAGTAGGAGTAGCAGTAGTAGTAGAAGTAGTAGTAGTAGTAGTGGTAGTAGTAGTAGAAGTAGTAGTAAAAGTAGTAGTAGGAGGAGTAGGAGTAGGAGTAGGAGTAGGAGTAGTAGTAGTAGTAGTAGCAGCAGTAGTAGTAGTAGTAATTGTTGTTGTTGTTGCTGCTGCTGTTGTAGTTGTGGTGTAATAAGTGTAGTGTAATTAGAATTAATTAGATGTAATTGGATGTATTTAAATGTAATTGGATGTCATTGGGTGTAAGCAGATGTAATGAGATGTAATTAGATGTAGTTGGTGTAGCGTAGTGTAATTAATGTAGTGTACTTTACATTTGTAGTAGTAGTGTAGTGTAGTGGTGGTAGTAGTAGTAGTAGCAGCAGTAGTAGTCGTAGTAGTAGTAGTAGTAGTAGTAGTAGTTGTTGTTGTAGTTGCCTGTCTATCTGTCTATCTGTCTATCTGTCTATCTACCTATCTATCTATCTATCTAATCTATCTAATCTATCATCTACCTATCTATCTATCTATCTATCTAATCTATCATCTAGCTATCTGTCTTTCTACCTATCTATCTATTGACCTCATCTCATCTCATCTCATCTCATTTATCTATCTTTCTATCTATCTATCTATCTCTCTCATCTATTCATCTACCTATCTATCTATCTATCTATCTCATCTCATCTCATCCCATCTATCTACCTATCCACCTATCTATCTATCTATGTCATCTCATCTCATTTCATCGCATCTCATTCCACCTATCTTTCTAAACTATTATCTATCTATCTACCTCTCTATCTATCTCATCTCATCCCATTTCATATTTTCATCTCATCTCATCCCACCTATCTTTCTAAACTATTATCTATCTATCTACCTATCTATCAATTTATCTCATCTCATCTCATCCCATCTATCTATCTAAACTATCTATCTATCTAATTCTATCTATCTAATTCTATCTATCTAATTCTACCTATCTAATTCTATCTATCTAATTCTATCTATCTAAATCTATCCATCAAATTCTATCTATCTAATTCTATCTTTCTAATTCTATCTATCAAATTCTATCTATCTAATTCTATCCATCTAATTCTATCTATCTAATTCTCTCTATCTAATTCTATCTATCTAATTCTCTAATTCTATCTATCTAATTCTATCTATCTAATTCTCTAATTCTATCTATTTCTCTATTTATCTCTCTATCTATTTCTCTATCTATCTATCTATCAATCTATCTATCTACCTATCTATCTATCTATCTAATCTATCTATCTATCTAATCTATCATCTAGCTATCTGTCTTTCTACCTATCTATCTATTGACCTCATCTCATTTCATCTCATTTATTTATCTATCTATCTATCTATCTATCTAATCTATCTATCTATCTATCTGTCTATCTATCTATCTATCTTTCTATCTATCTATCTATCTCATCTATCTATCTCATCTATCTATCTATCTATCTATCTAATTCTATCTATCTATCTAATTTTATCTAATTCTATCTATCTATCTATCTATCTAATTCTATCTATCTATCTAAGCTAGCTAGGTAGCTATCTATGTATCTATCTATCTATCTATCTGCAAGCTTGAAAACAAGCTATTCTGCGAGACTTCCTCAGTTTTTGAACTTGACAACATTAAAAACGCAGCAATTCTGCGAGACTTCCTCAATTTTTGAACTTGACAGCATCAAAAACGAAGCAATTCTGCGAGACTTCCTCAGTTTTCGAAGTTGACAACCTGAAAAAGGAAGCAATCCTGCGAGACTTCCTTCAAAAATGGAAAGTTTAGTGCAGAGCTGACGGCCTCGTGCCAATGCATATTGCAATTTTTCCACTCCCATCGTCACGCAAAATCATCTTAGCAAACCTGAAGATCTGATGCTCTAAAATGCAACCCCTCTCAGGAAAGCAGCGCCCTGACCTCCCAACATTTCTGATAAACATGTCTCTTGTACTGCGCCTGCCACGTGAAATGCACCTTTCCAGATCCTCTTCAAATGTCCCACGCCTGCCATCGTTTTTAAAAATGCCACAAAACCCACCCGTTTTGCTCACTTTTGGCAAGGGGCAGAATCGCTTGCGCCTGCCACGCAAAACCACATCGGAACCTTCAAAAGTGGTCCGAGCATGTAGTGTTTTTTCACATTTTGACTGGAAATGTGCTTCGCGCCAGAACGGCGTGCACTTTTTCGACATCTCAACTTCCAAAAGTGCTCCGAACCTGGTGACCTGGTGTGCTTTGCGCATTTTGACTTCGAAATGTGATTCGCACCACAACGCCGTGCGCTTTTTGAACATCTCATCTTCCAAAAGTGCTCCGAGAAGGGGGTGCTTTGTACATTTTTTAACTTCAAAATGTGCTTCGCACCATAATGACGTGCAATTTTTCATCTCTCATCTGGCCAGACGGCTCCGCACCCGCCACTTTAGCGAGCCTACTTTTCGACCCTCTGGAGCCACAAATCTTTGGTGGCTTTGCTACCTTTTCGCGCGCCTGCATCTTCTGTCTTCTGACTCTTTCTCTTCTCTGATCTTCTTTCTTCTTCTCTTCTCTTCTCTTCTCTTCTCTGACTCTTCCCACCTCTGCTTTTCCATCTGTCCATATTGTCGGAAGTTTGACTTCTAAACTTCCTTCGATACTTGTATACATACGCGATTTCACTGCTGCAAACGTGCTTGAACACTGTGATTGTTTTGGCTCTATTTAATTTGATCCCCTCATATATCTCTTTCCAAATGCTCGTGGACACGCCGAAACGCGGCCAAGATTCACAAAGAACCAACCTGCCCAAGCGTCTGGCTCATACTTGCCTTCGTACCAATGCTTGATCATCACCTGCAAAATACCGACACCAAAGAGAGCGTCCTGCGCAGGCAAAACATGTGTTTCTGCCTTTACCCACCTTTTCCATCCTTGCACATTTGCCCCGGCTAAAAACAATGTGAAGGAGAAGCTGTAAGGGGCCTGCGATGGTTTACATGTCCTTCTGTATTGATGTACAGTAAATCTGGATGGTGATTATTTTGGGGAAGCTGCCCTGCCGAGCCGCGGAAATTTAGCCGTGAGTGCCATGACGAAACCTGATCCAAAAATCGTTTCTCCTTGATGCGCTGCTCTGTCAATTCCTTGTAATTCGCATCCCGTAGTTGTCCAAGAGAATCACGTAGCTTCGAACCCAGAATGAAGTCACCTCAAACGCGCGCGCACGAGACCCTGGCTATATACCACATATATCCACATATATGATCCCCCTTGATTGATGGGTAGGAACCCGTGCCCCACCATTCCATAAAAACCTGGTTTATGTAATGGTTGGGTACAGGTATATTTGTATAGAATGGATCCTTTTTTGGGGTTATATATTATGGAATACCACCATTGTACTACCTAGCAGGCCGGATATGCAAAGAAATGCTTCGCCAGTATGTTCTGGAAATGGCAAAAAATGAACTCTTGAAACCAAGAAAATTTGACTTGTATATTATGGAATTGGTTGTTTTTTGAGGGGGTCGTTTTAAGGTATCTTAAGATATTTTAAGATAAAATTATTGTTTATGTTCGGACACGTTAACATACCAGAACGATCCAGTTTATAAACAACATAGGTGTTTGTGAAATTCCCCTTTTGTATGAATGGAATGTCTTCCATATATGTTTACCCCACATTTCGGTGTATAAAATAGATAATCGTCTATTGTTTCTGTATTTCGTATTTCAAACACTGGACTTTTTCATGATTTATCCATTTTATACACTTCTTATGGCTCGAGGACTTCGGCCCGGCAGGGACGGGGCAACACGATGGGATTCACACCGGGACAAAACAACGGGGTAACACAACGGGTAACCAAACAGGGGAAAACAACGAGAAAATGAGAAGTGTCACGTTTATACTTGGTTATATGGATTATATGTGGTTATATGGGTTATATGTTGTTTTATGGGTTATGTGGGTTATTTGTGGTTATTATCCACAATCTTATATACATATATATATGTTTATAGTATGTTTTATCCACAATCATTTTTCAAACATTCAGTGGTTCATTTTCAAGACATCGATCGCTGAAAGAAACTTCCATTTGATTAACAGATCTCCAAGTTTCCGTAAGTGTTCAAACTGGAATCTTGCAAAAAATAGCAAACAACATTTATATTATGGAAATGCCGATTTTGGGACTAATGATTCCAAAGAAAAATGCAGCTGTATGTAATGGAATTACCATCGTTTTGTATGAAATGGAGGGGTGCAACATGGCACCAAAATTTAAGGGTTTTTGCCCCGTTTTCCAAGATAGGCCGTGTATGAAATGATGTTGGTTTTTCCATTTCATACGGGGCATGGGTTCTTCCATTCCATACAGGTACAGTCAAGGGGGATCGTATATGTAGAATTCATAAAGTAAACGTAAAAATGTTACATTACATTTTTAGGCTGGGTAAACAAATTTAAAATCAAAATTGTAAAGATAAACCTCAAAAATGTATGTTACATTTTTTGGGTGGTTTGAATAGAAAATCACACGATCCGACTTCCCAACCTGAAAAATGTATTTTGCATTTTTGGGGTGTTTCATGTATTCCCAAAAAATCGGTCAAACATGTCCAAACATGCCCAAACATTGGCATTGGAATCAAACATAATATCATAATATATCAGAATGATTCAGCATGTAGAATGGGGATGAATGGGGAGGATATGGTAGGTTAATGTAGGTTATGGTAGGGCTATGTAGAGCTATAGGGGGGTTATAGGGCAGGGTGGGGGGAAGGACCCAAAAAAGTAACATATATTTTTTGGGTACCCCACGGAGATGTTACAATTTCTACCCCCGAGTACTTGGCCCAACCAAAAGCCAATTGGAGTCAAACTTGGCCGTGATAGAGGTTCGTGCAAGGCCATGTTGCCCACACTGGGCTTGTCTTTGGTCCAACTTCGACACAGAACCAAGTTGCCCATGCTAAGCCCTTTGAGCCAACTGGCCCAAGTTCCGCGCAAGTTACGCCCTAGATGCGCCCAAGTGAGCTCCTGTTCGGGCCCAACTTAAGGCCACACGGGAAAGATGCAAGTTTTCAGCATCGCATTGAGTCAGCAAAATTGGCCCGGTGGGCCAGCTTGGGCCTTGGGCTGCCCTCAAAGCTGGCGCCAATTGGTCATGTTGGGCTGAAGTTGGGCCGAAAGCCATCCAGATGGACCCCAAATTGAAACCATGTGATGCACATGGACGTCCAGGTCATGTGCAACATTGCGCAACATGGGACCCTTTGGCGACAGCTTCACGCCAAGTTGGGCCCAACGGAGACACAGCAGGGGGAACATAGCTTCAAACGAAGCATCACCAATAGCAGAAAACGCAAAAAATACCAGTGACAACGAACGCCTCGTCGTCGTCGTCGTCGTCGTGGTTTGGATGCTGTACGGCTGAAAAAGCAGCAGCCCGCACAGCGGCAATGAAATCCCCAAAATCAGCGCGCAGCGGCAGCGGCAACATGCCCAGCGGCAGCGGCAACACGCCCAGCGGGTGAAGAACACATACGAAATGAAATACCTTGGTAACACAACCTTAGTAGACAGGTATCAGTCGACCTCAGAAGCAACGGTTTAACCGATGCCGTGGCGTTGCGCCCAAAAGGCACGCACCACCTTCGCAGCCCAATTGGGGGTATCAAGAGAATCACCTCTTTTGAGCCACCCGTATCTCGCACTCATAGGATGAGTAGGAATATCCATTTGAGAAGGTCTATGGGGACACATCCAAGCACAGTGGTGCCACGTACCTAGCTCATGGCAACCAGGCCACACACAGGTAGTGGGAGTATCACCTTCACCTTGCCTGCTAGAGAAACAAGCGGGTGATCTCACAGCGCCCAATAAGAGAGTCCTATAGGTAGGATCGGAATCCAGAAGAGATCTCATTCTGGGAAAATCAAAAGCCAAAAAGTTATCTAAAGTGACATCCATGTCCCTGTTGTCATGCCGATCCTGATTGAGGAAATAAGCAAACATATACCATCGCCAACCTTCACGTAATTGGTGTTGATTCAGCGTCAAACCCTGCATGTCATAGAAGTTCAAATCAATGGTGCAAGACGAACCCTGAATTTTCCAAACCCATGCCGAAGTCACTTGCCATCCTCTAGAGAGAAGCCACTTGTGAAGGGCATAGAGGGGGCTCCCCCTTTTGAATTCCCACACCAAACCATGAATCTGCTTAAGGGACGAAACAACCCGCAACAAATTAACCGCAATCACACAGTCCACATGGGTGAGCCCCCCCATTAAGACAGCTCTTAGCAAAAAACTGGCAGCAGCCAGAGTCCGTTGTCCCCTTCGAAGAGCAGCCCACCATTTTTTGCAATAGGCCAAAGTCGGAGTTCGACTGAGCCAGCCATAAACACATTTCGAAAGGCCATAAGTACGAGCGGCCCAGTGAAATTTGGCAAAGCCGAGCCGCAAACAACTGAGCAACTTGACACACGTTAACGCGTTATCCAAACGCTGCTTTTCCTTCTTCTTGACCTGCCTCGGCTGCATCGCGGCCTGAATGCCAAGTATCTCAAACTCCTTAGAAATCTGCCTGGGATCAACACCGGCAGCGATGAGACGACGGGTGTTGGCCTTATCAGTGTTTTCGATGATCCCGGTGCGGCCAGACCACTCAGCCCACAACTCTTTTTTGGCTAACAACCCTTCAGGAGTGGATGAGCTGAAGCTTCTGTCATCCATGTAAATCCGATCACAACCCGTATGAAAAGCAAGGGGAAGATTGTCCTTGACAAAATTAATACCCGAACTCATCCACACCTGCAACGCAAGCGGGCCCCAGGGGTCTCCCTGCGGCATGCAAAAGGAAGCATTGAGGGGCGTGTGATGACAGTGGCGCCCCCAGAAGATCCATCTCTGCTGATGGTTCCAAGCCAAACTCAAAGTGACAATCCAATGACGAGGGAAGTTCCCAGCAGCCAAAAGGGTTTCAGTGCCCTGGGGGCTCAGCGTGTCATAGCACTTGCTGAAATCAAGAGTACAACCAAAATTGTCCTTACTGATCCCTAGAATCATGGTGGCAGCAGCCATTTGGGCTTCTGCATTGGGGCCAGAGCCCGCGATCACTTCTTCGGGAATTGCTTGTTCAACCCAAGTACGCGTTGAAGCACACTTCACCAAACTAGATGACCAAAGGTGCCACCACGCAGACATGATCGTGATGGGCCTAGCCTGATCCACAGCCACCTGCCCCTGCACCACTTTGGAAGCTTTTGGGATTTGAACACAGCGCGCCTCCAGAAACTGAGCAGGCGCTTGCTCAGCGTGCCCCCAAGAAATAGCCAGGGCACGAAACATGGCCAGTGTATTGCACGGGAGGTGTTTGAGCTCCGAACCTTTCCAGCCGTCCACGCCAGCGGAGCCCGACATGTGTCTGGCCGTTTTGAGGACTTCATCCAAGGAGGGATCTTGCCATTGAACATCAGCCGACACCGCATAGGTCCTCAGAGTACGGTTACGAAGGTCATCATCGGCTTGATGCCGAGTGGTTTGCCAGAACTGATCCCAAAAATGGAAAATCGAAGAGGAAATCTCAGCAGGCGTATGGGCCGTGCCAAGCTCAGACTCAACAGCCACGGCTTCGGTGTGATTCAGACGGTTCCGAAGCCATTGCCCAATAGTTTTTGGGTCCTCATGGATCCAGGTTCTCCATTTGGCAATGGAGTCCGCTCTTTTGCTTTTTTCCAGCTCCTTGATAGAATGCAGAAGCGTCGCACCTTGCTGCTTGGCGAACTGCACCAAAAACCCTAAGTCGTCCTCCCGGTCAGTCAACTCCGGGTAATGTCGACACAGCTTCTGAAGCAGATTGCCCAACAAGATTTGTCTTTGAACCGAGTGCTCACGGATGAGCAGGAGCGCGACCTGCTTGAGTTCATGCAATCGACCCAGCTTCCTACGAAGCTTTTGGACTTGAAAAAAGCCTGCCGTTTCGAAGGGACCTTTCTTGACTGTGGGCCTGGCAGTCCATTTTCCCAAAACCCCTTTGCGCATCTTCACTCCCGCAAGTTTCACAAACTTGCGTTGCTGCTCCGGGTCAGTCGACCTGTGAGCTAACGTAGTCAGAGCAGTCCTAAACATATCATCAACCGCACAATTGAAAATGTCCCAAGCATCTTGAACCGGAAGCAAAAAAATACTGTCATCCG